AGTAGTAGTAATCGTCGTCGTCGTCGTCGTCGTAGTCGTAGTCGTAATAGTAGTAGTAGTAGTAGTAGTAGTAGTAGTAGTAGTAGTAGTAGTAGTAGTAGTAGTAGCAAAGGTAGTAGTAGTAGTAGAAGTAATAGTAGTCGTAGTCGTAGTCGTAATAATAATCGGAAGAAGAGGAGAAGGACGAGGAACACGAGGAGCAGGAGGAGCAGGAAAAGGAGGAGGAGGAGGAGGGGCAGGAGGGGGAGGAATAGGAGGAGGAGGAGGAGGAGGAGGAGGACGAGGAGGAGGAGGTGGCCCTCCCCTCCTCCTCCCCCTCCCTATACTCCTGCTGTTGCTCCTCCTCTACAGGAGCAAGAGGAGGGGGGGAACCTCTCGAGGAGGTGGAGGTGAAGACCTCGAGGGAGAGGAGGAGGGAGACAAGGGTGAGGGGAAGGAATAGGTGAAGGGGCTGCTGGACGCGGAGGACCTCGTCGAGGAGGTGGAAGCGGAAGAGGACAAGGGAGATAAAGCAAAAGAGGAGGACCTCGAGGTTGAGGACGAGACGGAGGAGGAAAAGGTAGGGGTCTCTCGACAATGTCCGCAGCTAGAAACTCGAAGGGGTAGGAGGATCGATGAGGATACCAAAGATGGGCAGCTGAAAAAGAGGTATGTTCGAACTTGCGGGACGAAGGAAGCAGCAAAGGGGGGGAGGAAGAGAAGGACGAGGATCAGAGAGAGAGAGAGAGAGAGAAAAAAAAAAAAAAAAATGAGAAAGCACAACAATGATCCTGGCGATCCTGGCGAAAGACACAACCATATGCCATTGTGAGTACCGCAATAGTGAATATCTCCTTCGGTGAAGCTTCCTATAGGGCGATCAAACGCTGCACTGGGTGGGGGGGAACGCTGTATTGGGTGGGTGAAAATGCCATATTGGGTTTTCGGGACGCATGCGGACGGTGACACCGGGGCCTTCGGTGGCCACGAAACGCTGTACTGGGTGGGTGAGAATGCCAAATTGGGTGTTTCGCGACGCACGCGGACGGTCCCACTGGGGGCGTCGGTGGAGCTCCCTATGGGGGCCACGAAGCGCTATACTAGGTTGGTGGAAATGCCAAATTAAGCTTCTGGGACGCATGCGGACAGTGGCACTGGGGCCTTCGGTGGAGTTCCTTACGGGGCCACGATGCGCTGTGCTGGGTAAGTGAAAATGCCACATTGGGCTCTCGGGACGCACGCGGACGGTGGCGCTGGGGCCTTCGGTGGAGCTCACTATGGGGCCACGAAACGCTGTAATGGGTGGATGCAACATACCATATTGGGTGTTTCGGGGCGCATGCGGACGGTCCCACTGGGGGCGTCGGTGGAGCTCCTTATGGGGCCACGAAGCGCTGTACTGGGTGGGTGAAAGTGCCAAATTAAGTTTCCGGGACGCATGCGGACGGTGGCACTGGGGCCTTCGGTGGAGTGTACTATGGGGCCACGAAGCGGTGTACTGGGTGGGTGAAAATGCCAAATTGGGTGTTTCGGGACGCATGCAGACGGTCCCACTGGGGGCACCGGTGGAGCTCACTATGGGGCCACGAAGCGCTGTACTGGCTGTGCGGGACGAATGCGGACGGTAGCACTGGGACTTTCGGTGGGGCTCCCTATGGGGCCACGAAGCGCCGAACTGGGTGGGTGAAACGCAGGAAGGGGGAAGGGGGGAGGGGGGGGGGGGCAAACAGGCGCTGTACTGGGTGTGCGGGAACGCTTGCGGACGGCAGCACTGGGACCTCCGGTGGGGTTCCCTATGGCCCTATGGGGCTGCGAAGTGATGCACTGGGTGTGCGGGACGCATGCGGACGGTAGCACTGGGAACTTCGGTGGGGCTCTCTATGGGGCCACGAAGCGTCTGGGCGAGCGAAACGCAAGGGGGAAGGGGAAGGAGGGCCACGAAACGCTGTACCTGGTGTGCGGGACGCATGCGGACGGTAGCACTGGGACCTTCGGAAGGCTCCCTATGGGGCCACGAAGCGCTGAACTGGGTGGGTGAAACACAGGGAGGAAGGAGGAGGGGGAGGAAGGAGGAGGGGGAGGAGGAAGGAAAGGAGAGGAACGCGGTGACCGCCTCCTCAAAACGAGGACCCAACACCACATAATGGTTGGGGAAAAAACCAGAGAAGAGAACCTGAACCATCACAGAGGGGCAATTGGTAGCAGCAGGTGCAGAAGGACTGGGAAAAAGAGGGGAAATGGGCGCTTCAGGAGCGAATCGGAAGGAAGAAGCCAGGCGGAGGGGGAGCGGGGACGAGCGGCGGGTATGACAAGGGGGAGGGACGGAGCCAGGAGGGGGACCAGGCGGAGCGGCGGGAGGACGAGGACAGAACATTAGAAACAGGGAGGGCGAGGAGGAGGAGGCGGAGAAGGATCAGGACACCGGCGACGAGCCTGTACGTCGTTTCCTGCCTGTAGTCTCCAATCCCGGGCCCCACGAACTGGAGCGTGGATATAGAGCCGCCGACTGGGCAGCCCAGTCCTGCGGCTGGGGAGCGAACGTCCAGGGCCCCCGACCCACAACTCCTCCTCTTCCTCCAAGCTCCTCCTGCCCTCCCCCATTGGCCCTTGATCCTTGATCCATCATGGAGGCGTGGCCGAGCCGACCACACCGCTCGAGCTCTGTCCATCGCAACCGCCACCAGGCGTGGGGCACGACACAACAAGCCCGTGCCGCACGGGTCAGAAGAGGCAGATCCTTACGCGCCGCACAGACAGACAATCCGAAGCCAACGAGTCACAATACCCCATCGTGCAGCACAAAGCTACAACACTTGGCGAGCCGAGGAGCGCGACCACACCAAGCACGGGTGACCCGACGAGAGGGGCCACACGGTGAGTAGCACCAAACAGCACAGCAGAAACAGCGGCCACCAGCCAAACAAGACAACATAAACCATCGGCGTGTGCAATGGGTTGCTCGTCGTGGTTGTTGTCCTCGTACGTGCTCGTCGTCTTCTTTCCTGGGTCCGTCGCCGCTCCTCCCCTCTTTCCCTGGGCCCTCGTCCTCAAGCGCGCCAGCCCAAAGGCGAAGCGAAGCAACCCAGCCGAAACGAAGTGAACAGCGTTGTCATTGAGTCGACAGGGGGAACCCTTTCCCTTTGAGCCCTTCACCGCCGGCAAGCGGGGGAGGGTCCCAAGGGGGGGGGTCTCTGGGGGGGGGGGTCCCAGGGGGGGGGGGTCCCGGGGGGGGGGGTCCCAGGGGGGGGGAGGGTCCCGAGGGGGGGTCCGGGGACAGAAGACCGTCCCCCGTTTGGGCTGCCCAGGGGAGTCCGCCCCCCAAGGCTCCAGAATTGCCCTGCTCCCCCTCCTCCTTCTCCTCCCCCCTCCTCCTCTTCCTCCTCCTCTGTCTCCGCCTCCTCCTCCTCCTCCTCCTTCTCCTCCTCCTCCTCCCTCCTCCTCCTCCTCCTCTCATCCTTCCCCCCCTCCTCCTCCTCCTCTCCTCCTCCCCTCCTCCTCCTCTCCTCCTCTCCTCCTCCTCCTCCTCCTCCTCCTCCCTAATCCGCCTCTTCCACCCTTTCCTCTTCCCCCCACTCCTCCTCCTCCTCCGCCTCCTACCCCCCCCCGCTCGTTTTCATCTTCGTTGTCTTCAGGGTCGGCGGCACCGGCCGTAAGGCCTTCGCAATCTGCACACTCTAGCGACCCGAGGAGCGGGACCACACCAAGTGCTGGAGCCCCGAATGGCGGGACCACACCAGCAAATAACACAAGGATCCAGCATACACCTGAGCCTTAGCCAAGAGAGGTGCCTTCGCAGAATTGCTAATGAAACCTGCGAGCACACTTCAATTGCGTGCGCCTCTCCATCACATCACCATCAGCCCCGTGACACGCAAATTTGAGGTTGAGAAGTGCGATACCAATGTTCGACGAAAAGCATGCACATCGCGCACAAGCCACAGCATTACCCGCCGAAGACGGCGCATTCCCAGGGGATGGGGTTTACCCTCCCCCCTACCCCTCCATTGGACCTGGACGGGGGGGTCCGCGAGCGATCAGGGCGTCCAAAACGGCCTCGGCGAGGAAGCCAAAATCATTGGTTTTACTATGGTTTTGGCTCCATGTTGGCCTCGTGGGGGGGGGGGGGGGGGGGGGCGACGCTAAATTACGCTCCCCTCTTCTTTGGTTGATCCCCTCCAAGACCCAAGAGGTCCCAAGATGGCCCCATGATGGCCCCAAGAGGCCCCCAAGAGGCCCCCAGGATGCCCCCAAGAGGACCCCAAACGGCCCCAAGAAGCCCCCCGAGGCACCCAGGACGCCCAAGAGCCCCCAGGACCGCCAAGAGACCCCCGAGACGTCCATGAGGCCACCAAGAAGCGCCCAATAGATATCCCAAGAGGCTCCGAGAGGCATACAAAAGACCTCTGGCCATTTTGCTTGGCTTCCTCCTCCTCCTCCTCCTCCTGCTCCTCCATCCTCCTCCTACTCCTTCTCTTCCTCCTCCTCCTCCTCCTCCTCCTCCACCTCATCCTCATCCTATTCATCCTCCTTCTCCCCACTCCCTCATCCATCCATACAGCCTCCTCCTTCTCCTCCTCCCTCCTTCGCACGATTCGGCCGTCCCCCTCTTTGCTCCCGCACTTCCCTGATCACCTCAACTCGCCTGGACATCGTTTCTGGATGGGCTGGTGGGGATACGCGAATCGTCCAGAATTCACGAAACTTCAGGCTCACCGCCAACCTAGGAGTCCCTGCTCCCTCGTTCCTCCACGGTCTCTCCGTCTCTCCCCCTTTCCTCCTCCTCCTCCTCCTCCTCCTCCTCCAACTCACCCTCCACTATCGCATCCACCCTCCTCTCACTTCATTACCACTACCCTCTTCCCTCTCATTGGGGCAGGGGAGGAAGGAAGGGAGGGAGGGAGGGAGGACAAGAGAGCAGGAATACGGGGAGGAGGAGAGGGAGAAGGAGGAGGAAGAGGAGGAGGAGGAGGAGGGAACAGAGGAGAAGCAGGAGGAACAGGAGGGGGAGGAGGAGGAGGAGCAGGAGGAGGAGGAGGAGGAGGGGACAGGAGGAGAGGAGGAGGAGGAGGAGGAGGAGGAGGAGGAGGAGGAGGAGGAGGAGGAGGAGGAGGAGGAGGAGGAGGAGGAGGAGGAGGAGGAGGAGGAGGAGGAGGAGAGGAGGAGGAGGAGGAGGAGGAGGAGGAGAGAGGAGAGGGAGAGGGAGAGAGGGAGGGGAGGAGGAGGAGGAGGAGGAGGAGGAGGAGGAGGAGGAGCAGGCGGAGGAGGAGAGAGGGAGGAGGAGGAGGAGGAGGAGGAGGAGGAGGAGGAGGAGGGAGGAGGAGGAGGAGGAGGAGGAGGAGGAGCCGCAGCTGGCGATTCCGATTGCCGAACCCTCCTGCCACTCACCCAGTCTGTGCATCTAACAATCTGTCGATGCATGTGCTCATTGTACGCTCTGTTTTCAGGTTCTTCCTTCCGTCTTGGATCCTTGTTGCGACAACTGCATTTGGGAAGTCGGCAGGTGGGGCAGCGGCCGCGGCAGTCTCTCGGGATCCAGTGCCTCCGCCTCGCCTCTCGCGGGCCGCCCGGGCGGCAGCCGAGCGATCCCGCGCTGCATCCCGCAGGAGGCACACGTGCGTGCAGGCGTTCCCGTTTGTCGCGGAAGACGTCGTGTGGGACCCCTTGATCGGCTTCCAGTGCCCGGCGATCGTGCAGGCCTCGGCATCCAGGAGCAGGCGGACGTCGGCCCGCTACGGATTGCGTAGGCTCCGCATCGGAGAAGCCTCCAACCCGGGACCGACTGGCCGGGCCAATGCTGACTGGGCGGTCTCCGAGCAGCCGTCGCGGAGGCAGACGGCTTCGTGCAGGTCGTGCCATCGCCCTTTCGAGCCCGGCGATGCTCGAGCCCGATCCCGTCATTCAGATCTTCGTCAAGGAAAGCACTTCCACCCCGCCTGCATTCCTGGAGGGCTCGGGCCATTGGAGGACATCGAGGGGTGTCGGAGGTTGGAGAGAAGGCGAGGGCGCAGATCATCTCTTTCGCCGATGGGAAGAGATGTCCAGGGAGGCGTACGTGGCGAGCAAGCGCAGGCGCCGGCACCGCGTCCAGCCCGAGGATTCTGAGCCGCCTGACCCGCCCCTTGTTCGCGACGCTGATGATCCAGATGGGGTTTTTGAGGACGGTGTTCTGAAAAATTCGGATTGGTGGGACTACGTGGCGGCTCGGGACCTTGAATGCGTCCCCACGATTGCCCACATTCGAGTCTCTCCTCCACGCGTGTGCCGAGGCCCGGCCGGCATTGTTGGTGGCGTTGCAGCAGCGTGATCCTCAGAGTGTGGAGGCAGTACGTTTGTGGAACCTGGAACCTCTTGGATTATATTGACCGTTTGCTCTTTGCCCGGGCAACGTCGCGCAAGGGGGCGAAGCAGAAAAAGGTTGACCAGGTCATTTCTCATCGTCTGCATTTGTTCTGGAGGGGCTCGTGGCAACAACTCTGGACCATGGCCCGGCAGTGCGGCCGAAAGGCCCCGTATTTTCCGGCCGAAGGCACATCCGACGGAGAGACTCGCAGGATCGAGCCGTTGCTGCTGGCCGGCGAGGCGTCCGAGACCACGGCCGCTCTGGCGGGGAAGGCGGAGATGGAGGCTCGTCCGGGCACCGCCGAGAAGCTGAAGGCGCTGTTCGACCCCGATGCTTCTGGACTGGCAGGGGCCGCGCCTGGGGCCAGGGAGGTGGAAGCGCCAGGAGCGCAGCACAGGTCCGCCATTGAGCAGGAAGTCGCCGCGCGCATCTTCTCGCTTTCCGCGGCTTGCCGGGGCGGGGCCTTCAGGTCCAGATACGAGCATTAAGGAACATTAGGGCACCACCCGGACGGTCTCCAGGCAGCCGCCGCGGCCCTTACCAGGCCCCTGTTCGGAGAGGTGCCGGATGACATTCTCAGGGCTCATCTCCGGGGTCGTCTGCTGGCTTTGAAGAAGGCGGATGGCGGTGTCCGGCCGCTGTCCTGTGGCAGCATTCTGCGGCGCATCATCGCCAGAGCGGCGTGCAAAGTGGAATCTGGCGCACTCCGCGAGCTTGGAGGGCCACGCCAATGTGGCAAATCCCGGCCTGCCGGGGTAGAGGTAATGCACAAAATCCTTATGGCGTCCGCTGAAGAGCGTCCTGCTGCGGCGTTCTTGTCTTTCGATTGCAAAAACGCTTTCAATATGATCACGCGGCCTGCCATATGGACGGTTTGTGCAGGAACGCTGTTGGGTCGTATAGCCGATGTACCGTGGTTCGACAATGCATTGGTTTTCGAATTCTTCTGGAAAGGCTTGGCCAGTTCATTCTGCTCGGGGCGTTGACCAAGGCTGCCCACTGAGTCCTGCGCTGTTCTGTGCTGCGCTGGCCCCAGCATTGGCGTCGATCGATCAGCGGCTTCGCTCTCTGGATCCGCAGGCGCGGGTATACGCTTACCTGGACGATGTTTTTTGTTGTTATCGATGCCCGCTTCGCCGCGGAGGCCGCCCCAGGGGCGAGGGAGGCGCTGCAGGGCATCG